TAAATGGGAGCTGGAGTGCTCGAGCTCTGGGCAGTGAGATTGGCCAAGATGTGGTAGGAATGTCGAGCACTCGAAATGCCAATTCAAGTGCTCGAAATTGGATCAGTAAGCTCGGGGAAATGAGGAGGATTGTGGGATGAAATGTTGAGCACTTGGAATGGGTGCTAGAACTTTCGAGCACTCTAAATGGGTGTTAGAGCTCTCAAACTGGAGGCAGTGAGCATGGGATTGATGGTTCACATTTAGAGCACTCCAAATGGGAGCTAGAGTGCTCTAAATGAAGGCAGTAGGCTCATGGAAGTTTGGTTCACAATTGGAGCAATCCAAATGGAAGCTAGAGCGCTCCAAATACAAGCAGTAGCCTCGGAATGATGGTGAGAAAGTTTGGAGCAATCCAAATGAGAGTTAGATTGCTCCAAATTTTGACAGTAGCATTCGAATTGATGGTGAAGACATTTTTTTTTTTTTTTTTTTTTTTGCAACTGCTGCACCTGATGCCAAGCAATACATAGATGGATTTTCAGACCTTGCATGCGTTATTCCAAACCAATGCACGGATGGAAATCAAGAACTTGGCAACTTCATGCAATGCATGGAAAGTTTAGAAGATGCTTCAAACTGTGCAATTTTTTTTCAAACTTTGCAATCAACTCAAATGCATGGAAAAAATTTTAAAATTTGTAACTCCATTTTAATTCAATGCATGGAAAAATTTAAACTTTGCACTTCATCTCAAATGCATGGATGGAATTTGGTCTCTTCAAATGCATGGATAAATGTAGGAAAAATTTTTAAACCTTTGCAACATCACACAATGCATGAATTAAATTTCTGAAAATTTTTCTAGAACTTTGCAAATTCATTCCAATATAATGCATGGATGGAAAATTTTGAAAACTTTTCAACTTCGTTCTAATGCATGGACAATTTTCAAACTTTTGAACTTCAATCCATTCTAATGCAAGGAAGGAAAATTGTCAAACTCTACACTTCATTGCAATGCATGGAAAATTTAGAAAATTTTTCAAACTGTGCAAAATTTTTTTTCAATGAGTGCATGGATGATTTCAAGAAGATTTCCCAACTTTTGCAACCTCACACAATGCATGGATGATTTTGAGAAAATTTTCAAGCCTTGGAACATCTTTTCAATGCATGGATGGGATTTGAGAAAATTTCCAACTTGTGCATTAAAAATGAGAAAATATGCACATGAGAAGCATTCACAAGATCCGATGAAATTGCTAGGAAGCGATGGAAATTTTCGGGAATGAAAATTAGGGCTGAGAAGGTCTAAGAAGCCGGTCTAAAATTGCGGAACACAACTGAAGACCATTTCAGAAAAATCAAATTTTTGGCTTTTCGAAACCATTTCCCAGAAAATTTCAAGGCACGAGCAATTTGAGAAGGTAGGGAAGCTTGGAACATCGAAAGAATTTATTCCCTTGCTTTGCTAAATTTAATGTCGATAGCTAGATGAAGTTAGAGCAGGTACTAATCCTTAAAAATCTCGATAGCTAGACACACCGAGATCAGGTTAGTCCTCCATACACTATACCATGTCTCTCAAGAGATTCAAGCTTCCCCAAATAGGATAATTCTTTTAAACGCGAAGGAGGAAGAGCTTGAAGACAAAAGTGGAAAAGAGGTAGCGGAAAGACCTCAACCCACTCTTCATCCTTAATGAAGAACTTTGGATTATGGGGCTTATTTGGATTATGGGAAGATGGATTAGGTGAAGGTGCACCAAGCAACGACTTATGAAGGGTCATATTGAGCACGGGAATGCTCAACAAGTTATCCTTCATACTTTTAACATCCTCCTCACACTTATCCGGCGGTTCGGGCTCAATAGCTTGAGATAACTCAGGAGAAGGAATGAGAGGAAGTGCAAGCTCCCAAGAGAGAGATACATTTGATGTTGACAAAGGAAGAGAATGAATAGGAGGAATATCAAGCAAAGAATTGACCTCGCAAACAGAAGTGGCAACATCAAAATCCTCATAATTAAAATGAGCTAAGCATGTTTTTAGAGGATCCTCCATTAAAGGAGGTGCATCAAGCAAGGGATTATGTAGGGGCTGTGCTGGATTTTTATAGGATACAATCTCATCATCATTATTTTCCTTATTCTGAACCACAATTACTTCATTTTGATGCGTGGCAACAACTTGATCTTCAACCACCATTTCATCATTTTCACATGCGGTAACCACTTGAACATTCTCGTGATGAAAATTACTAGAAGTAAACTCATCATTCATAGAATTCTCTTTTGGATTGACCACAAGTTCAATTGGAAATTCTTCTTCCTTTTCCTGATTTAGAACATCAACCATTTGTTGAATTTGGGTTATTTGGTCATCTAAATCAACTCTAGATTGGGAATGAGAATAGGCGGTGGATTGCATGCTAACAATGTCATCCAACATTTGCTTGTTGGACTCCATCATTTGCGTATGCATAGACTCTATCATTTGTTCGTTGGCAGCTATTAACTCATCCAATGGAGACGGTAGAAAAGGAGAAGAAGAGGGCTGGAAATAATGATCATTGGGTTGAAAATTGGAGTGAAAATGTTGCCCAAGAGATTGTGGGGCTGAATTTCCTATGTTAAGCCATAAGAAGTTTTGATGATCTCCTGAACCCGAGTTATAACCATTGAAGTATGGATCACTACCCGGTTCAGAGAAATTTGCATTTGGTTGCTCTAGATAAAAATCCGAGAATTGTCTCGTTGGAAGACAATCTTTTGTATGATGTGTATTACTAGAGCAAAAAGCACAAAACGCATGTGGTGTGTAGAATTGAGTTAGGAGATAATTATTCTCCATCTAGGAGTTAAACATCAACAACACACAACATAATCAACACAACAATTCTTTATCATCAACTCCACATACAATGATCCCTTTCTCCTCAATTATCAACAAGATAGGAAATAAATGGCCACGACAAGGACCGATGCTTTGCAATATAGTAAAACAAAAATAGCCTTGACAAGGGCTTCGCAAGCTAAATTAAACACATACACAATATTCACAATGCGAAACTAGAAGTCACAAGACTTACCTGGGGGCCTCTAGACTTACAATTTGCTAGCGTTCCCACAACGAGTTTCGAGTCCCTAGAATCTCACAAACACGAAGATGATCAAAAATACACAAGGAGTATTCACAAGACACAATATTCACAATCAAACTAAAATTAACCCTAGAACTTTGGTCGCTAAACCGTTTGCAGTCCCCGGCAACGGCGCCAAAAATTGATCGGTTGGTCAATTAAACATCAACCTTCACAATAGCACGAATCATTGTAAAATAGGGCTATTGGTCGGGTAAGTCGAACCACTGGGACTGCGCTAATCTATGGCAACCTAAGTGTCTAGAGTCATTTTAGAGTGATAAGGGGTGTTCATAGAGGGTTTGTTTTGTTTGTCACTAAACTAGGAATTCAAATGTGCATAAAACAATAGTGCTAGTAAATGAGAGTTAGAGATAATAAAAAGGGAAACTAGGGAAGTGAATCCACCTACGCCCTAAATACATGCTAAATCAAGACTAAATTGGGGATAAACACTATATAAGCAATGATCAAGAATTATGTAGCAACACATAGTTGCTTCATAACCAATAAAAAGTTCATGAGATTAAAACAAGAATGGTCTATCAAAAGACAACACATTTGGACTACCTAGACTAGGGTGTAGTATCAAATACATTAACTTAAGCAAAAGACCATCAAGCATTCAATCAAATGATGAAGCACATGAAGGTAATAATCAAATATAGTCCATCAAAGGAGGTACCTAAGCAATGGAATATCAAGTTTCAAAATCAACATGCCTTGAAAACCATTCATAGTTAATATCTTCATTGTCACTATGAAAATAAAAGCAATAAGACTAATATAAGAATCATCAAGACAAGCTAAATAACTCACATCAATCATTTAAACATGAATATTCATTACAAGAAGTAATAAGCTCTTAAACTATGAAAAGACCAAAGTTTATACATTATAATCCCCAAAATAGAACCTAATCTAGAACATGAACAAAAGGGGAGGCTTTATCACCTCCCTAGAAGAGGTTTAGTTACCCATTGATGCACTAGAGGAAGGAGGAAGCTTGAAGAAAGACTTCATTTTCGTGCTCCTTCCTTTGCTTCAAGAACACACCTCTTTTGCTCTCTTCTCCCTCCTCTATCTTATAAGAATGAATCTTAATGATATGTGTGGCCTCCCTCTCTTATCTTCTAGAGATAAACCTCTAAAAACCCCCACCAACCAACATCTCCAATCAACCATTAAAGAGGGAAATTAGAATTGAGGAACCCAAGATGCAAGTGGCTGAAAATGAGCCATTTCCGGATGCAATTTTGCCCTAATTTCGAGCACTTGAAATAAGGGCTCGAGCACTCGAAATTGGAGCAGAATGCTACATTCTTGCCTTGCTCCGCCCGGACCTACTTTGGTAAAACGGGCATAACTTTGTACTCTGAACTCCGAATGACGAACTGTTTAAAGATTTAGAGATCTGATTCAGAGCTTTAAATACTTCATTTTTTGGGAGAGATCCAATTCTCAAGGATGATTGGTAGAAAATGAAGATCAAGGCAGAATTTCATTGCTGCCAGGCAGTTCTGCGCATCTCTGGTAAGAAGGCCATAACTCTCTGCTCTGAGCTCCGAATGACAAACCGTTTGAAGATTTAGAAAGCTAATTCAGAGATCTAAATCTTTTATGTTATGATGGAAGTCCAGTTCTTAAGATTTCTAGGTCAAAAATGGCAACAAAAGTCAGGTTCCACTGCTGCCAAGCTTCAGCATTGTGCCTTTGCATTCAAATTTCAACAAAACATCATTCTTGCTTCTTTTAAGCCAATAAACCTAAAAATAAACAAAAATGCACAAATGAAGATAATCTACATAATAAAATCAAATAATGGACTTAACTAATGCAATTTAGGGCGCTTGAATATGCAAAATTCGGCGCTTATCATGCGCTGCCACTCAGACCATACTTGTTTTATTCGACGTCGCTCTGATGGTCGTTGCATTATGTTATTGGTATATGTGGATGATATCATTATCACAGGTGATGATGTTTTAGGGATTGCTCAGGCGAAACTTCATCTTCAAAAGTCCTTTGATGTGAAGGACTTAGGTCCTCTTCAATATTTTCTTCGAATTGAGGTTGCTAGATCCCGTCGTGGAATTTCTTTATCTCAAAGAAAATATGTTTTGGATCTTCTTCAAGATACTAGCATGCTTGGGTGTCAACCCGCTTCCATTCCTATGGACCCCAATCTTAAACTCTCTGTTGAGTTAAGGGAATTACTTCCAGATCCATCCGTGTATCAACGTTTAGTAGGTCGTCTTATCTACTTGACTAATACAATGCCCGATTTGACATTTGTTGTTAGTGTGATTAGTCAATTCATGCATGCCCCTCGCTTAGCTCATATGGATGCAGTCTACCATATTTTGAGTTACCTTAAGTCGTGCCCTGGTCTTGGTCTTTTCTATGCCTCAGGAAATCAGTCTGGACTCTCATGCTTTATTGATGCAGACTATGCTGGATGTAAGACAGATAGATGTTCTACCACTGGCTTCTGTACTTTCTATGGTAATCATCTCATATCATGGAAGAGTAAGAAGCAGGCTGTTGTTTTTAGATCCTCTGCTGAAGCTGAATACCGAGCTATGGCTCAAGGTACTTGTGAGCTCCTTTGGCTTCAATCAATTTTGGGAGAGTTGGGTTTTGTACAGAAAGGTTCTTCAAAGCTGTTTTGTGACAATAAATCAGCCATTATGCTTGCTTCTGATTCTGTTTTACATGAAAGGTCGAAACATATTGAGGTAGACATTCACTTTATTCGAGAGAAGGTTCGATCGGGTATCATTAATCCTATTTTTGTTCCTTCTTCAGAACAGACTGCAGATGTGTTCACAAAGTCTGTTGGGCCTTCTCTTCTCTAGTCATCCATCGTCAAGCTGGGCTTAGTCAACATATTTGCTCCAGCTTGAGGGGGAGTGTTAGAAATCTTATCTATAAGTTGACTCAACGATTATGGCAGATTTATTGGGTCTTCAATATAGGCTAATTTTTAGGGATTTTATTTTTATTCTGATTTGATTTTATTTGATTTATTTTGATTTGATTTTATTCTCTTTTCCATATTTGTAATTTTCCGCTTGTATATAATAATAGTCAGGCTCTCAAATTGAGTACGCCAATTTTACCAAGTTACTTTTGTTTTGTTTTGCATGTATACAATATTTTATTCTACACCATTTGACTGATTTATTTTGCTTTCCCAAAAACCCATCTTTTAACCACACACTTGTTACACGCACACTAATAGACATAACAAACATGGCATTACAGTTTAATTTTAACATTCTCCCTTAATGCCATTTTGTGACACCCAACAATTCTTTTAAGTATTCAAATTTATCTCTTGGAAGTAATTTGGTGAAGATACCTGCAACTTGGTCTTTGGTCTTGCAATATTTGAGTTGAATCTTCTCATCCACGGCCTCTACTTTAATAAAGTGATGCTTGTTGGAAATATTCCTTGTGTGGCTTTGAAAGACTGATTCATTGTCATAGCAATAATGGATTTGTTGTCACAAAATTGGAGCTTCTCCATGCTTCTCATCAACATCTTCTAAAATTCTTCTTAGCTATATTACTTGTGAAGTTACCAATGATGCTGAATTATTTTCAATCATGCCACAATTTTTTGCTTCTTAGATGCCCACGAAAATACACCCGAATTAAAAGAGAATGCATAACCAGAAGTGTTTCTCGTATCATCAACACAAAGATAAATAATAAGAATACCGGTTTTATCTTGTACCATGAAGTACAATGTTGTTTCACTTTTGCTCATTTGAAATCCTTTGTTATTGAGGTAAGCATCAATCTCACTATACCATGCCCAAGGTGCTAGTTAAAGGCCATATGAAGCCTTTTTCAACTTGTAGACTTTCTCTTCTTCGTTTGTTGCAACAAAGCCTTAAGGTTGCTCCACATAAACTTTTCCTTTCGAAACACCATTTAAGAAGCCTGATTTTACATCAACTTGATGCAAAAACCAACATTTTTGAGCCGATAAGGCATTGAATGCTCTAATTATGTCAAGTTGATCAAAAAGTGTAAAGTTTCTTGAAAATAAATTCCGAGCAGTTGAGAAAACCCTTTAGCTACAAGTCTTGCTTTGTTCTTTTGAATGGAGCAATCTGGATCAAATTTAGTTTTGAAAATTCACTTCACACCAATTGCTTCTTTATATTCGACTTCTATACCAATTTCCAGGTTTTGTTCTTCTCAATTACATTGATTTCTTTTTCTATAGATTTCTTCCATACATCTTCTTTAATCGCATCTTTAAAGCTCTCCTGTTCAATAACACAACATTTTTAACTTGCATACACACCACTAAGGCTTCTCATTCTTCTTGGAGTTGAACTTTGAGAAGAAGAATTTAAGCTTGATGGAGAAGTTGTGGTTGATTGTGAGCTAGAAATTGAAGACAATTCTTATGGAGCTTCACGTACATCTTTGTCTTCATTTTATTGATTTTCTGATTCTTCATTGAAGATGATGACTTGATTATTAACTTTCTTCTCTTTCCAATTCCAAGAGGCCGGCCTTATCATTAAAGTGAACATATATAAAAATAATTAATTTATTATTCTTCAAATTAAAGAGTACTATAACCCTTTGATTTTGAGCTATAATCCACTGTGGAGGGAAAGTCCCCTCCAATTAGAACACATTAAAACAACATGTGCGGCAATCTAAGTACGACAACTAATGACATAAGGGTTGGGCTGAGATCAATAATGGGCTGGTTCCCAATGTAGAGGTTGGTCAGATTGAGCAAAGCCGAGTAAGACTAAAGAATGAAAGCCCATTATGGAGAGAAAGTTAGAAGCAAAACATAAGGCAAATAGGGCCCAAACGTAATCCACGTCCAACTAGAAGAGGGACTCTACAAGATAAGGACAAGAGAATCATAGAGAAATAACATGTATAGCAAGAAAGGAGTCCTACACGGACTCCTCTAAGCTTAGTATTCTAGAAATAAAGGCTTAAGACCTGTTTGCATTCAAAATAATCCCAGACACACTCAGGACACATTTAGTCTGTCATGCTATGTGTGCCTATGCGCAAAGCTACTCTTTACACTCTACCACCTCAATCTTGGAGCTATATTCTATCCTTGCATTGATCTAAGCTGCTTGTCCAACATAATCCAAGTCGTCCGTCCCTACATCTAGTTGTCCATGAGGCACCAATCGAAAGGTCCTCCTGCCTAACTTCGCCTATAAATAAGACCCTTCAGTATTCATTCTATCCTTGACCAAACACATGACATTTATTTCTTCATTTCAATACAAAGCGGTTTCAACACTACTTTGAATTATGTTTTAAAGTACTTTAAATTACGGCAACTATGCCTTTTCAAGGTTTTTCCTTGCAATTTTTATTCATAAACTTACTTTCCATGTTTTTACTGCTTTTTTTATTTTTAACCCAACTGGTTCTTAATCGAAGTCTAGCTATGACACCACTTATGTTGGTTGTAGTTTCGACCAGCCATAGAGTTTTTGTGTAGAGAAAAGAAGAAGAGACGAAACTTGGAGCAGATTTATTTTGCTCTACACCATTTGACTGATTTATTTTGCTCTCCTAAAAACCCATTGCACTTCCCAAAATACATCTTATTGGGTACAGGGAAAACGAAGTAAAATTAGAAAATAGAGAAATAATTCCAATTCACAACAAAAGCTTTACATGGTTCACCCAAACTCAGGGCTACATCCATGGATGAGGAGATTCACTATAATCATCATGTAGATATATTACAAGCTCGTAAACCCTCTCTACACATTGTACTCACACCCTCGTGAGATTACTCTTACGGGCTACATATCTCTCCACTCATACTTCTTAACAATAACCTACGTAACTATTTACCCAAACCTCAACTCACTAGCAGGGGTTCTCAGAAAATTATACGATACCATATGACTCTAAAATAGACAAATAATTATAATATAATTTGAGACATAATTATCCTAAGAATCTCCACCCTGGCTAAAATTCCATTATGTCAATAAACGCTTTTCCACGACAACTGAATTTGATAACTCACCCTTGTTATCCTTCACGACTCCACTTTTTCACGGAAATTGAATCTATCAACTCACCCTTGTTTTTCTTCACAACTCCACCTTTGTTATGTACCTCATCACGATGCTGTGTTGATCTTTTGCAGGCTGAGAGCACGAAACTACTCTTCTTTAAAGTTGGGAGCGCCATCCTCTTTTCCAAGCTTACAAAATAAACCCACTTTTCTTTTAGGTTGGGAGTGAACCTTGGCTGAGAGCAAAACCTCCATCTTTTTTTCAGGCTGAGAGAACGAACCCTGATGACTATCGTGATAAAGCAAGCTAATTGATTGAACCCACCTACAACTGAACTCTATTACCATTGAAGATTCTATTGAGACTCCATTTGTTTTTAGAATCTTCTTCATATGACGATTAAACATCCCAAGCCAAACCGTCAGCTCTGATACCACTTGTTGGGCACAACGGAAGCGAAATAAAACCAGAAGAAAGAGAAACAATTCCAAATCACAACAGAAGGTTTACATGGTTCACCTAAAAGTAGGGCTACATCTATGGATGAGGAGGTTCACTATAATCATCATGTAGAAATGTTACGAACTCGTAAACCCTCTATATAAATTGTACTCACACCCTTGCGAGATTGTCCTTAAGGGCTACACATCTCTCCACCATACCTCTCAACAACAACCTAAGTAAATATTTATAGAGCCAAAACTTCAACTCACTAGTACAGTTATAAGAAAATTACATGATATAATATAACTTTAAAATAGTCACGTAATTATTATAGAATTAGAGACATCATTACCCTAACAATCTCCATCTTGGTGCAAATTCCATCACATCTATCTACAATTTTCCACAGCAACTGAATGTGACAACTCACCCTTGTTGTCCTTCGTGACTCTATTTTTCCATGGTAATTAAATTCGACAACTCACCCTTGTTGTCCTTCACTAGTCCACCTTCATTATGTATCTTATCACAATTCTGTTTTTGCTCTTTTTCGAGCTGAGAGTGTGGACTCACTCTTCTTTTAGGCTAAGAGCGAACCTTGGCTGAGAGAAAAAGCACCATTCTATTTTTCTGGCTGAGAGAACAAACCCACTATTCTTTTAGGCTGGGAGCGAACCTTGGTTGAGAGCAAAACCACCATATCTTTTTCGGGCTGAGAGAATGAACCCTGACTACCACTGTGATTGAGCAAGCCAACTGATTGACTCTGCATGCAACTGAATTGTGATACCCCCTAATTTCAAAGCCACAGGTTGATCAAGTTCGAGCCCAAAACTAGGGGATATCAAAACAATTAAGTAATAACCGAACACAGAATACAAATGGATAAATAAAGAATAAATAAAAGTTGAAAGGAAAACTAAAATATTAATTAAATAATTAAATCCTCAATGAATAAAATCCTTTAATTAATAAACTTCTCTCATACCAACAATCCTCTAAAAAATAACTCGGGAATCCATACCATGTGGACCCCTAATAAAAATTCCAACTGAAATAATAAACAACTATTAAGTCTGATAAATAAAAGAATAATCTAAAGAATGTGCTACATCAATGATCCGGAAGAGTGAAGATGAACAATCTCTTAAGACTGGTACTATCGAGGACATGAAAAATAAATAGTAAGTCAGACCCACAAACAAGTTCATTTCACTACGACCCGATTAAAGAACTGATAATCAATACATCCCTAGCCAAATTCATGCTATATTTACATAGTTGATATATACATATATACACACTAGGACAATCACTAGTAATAAGGCAGTCTCAACTGTGTAGTAAGCACCATCCAAAGCCTACAAAAGTTGGTC